ATCTGCCTCTGCCTCGCCTACAGCGCCAGGCCTTAGCAACCGCCGTGGGGCTGCGCGCGCGCAGTCGGGGCGAGGGGGCCCAACGGCCACGGCCCAACTGCCACCCGGGGGGTGGGCTTCAGAGCGGGGCGCTGAGGTAGCTCAGGCCTGGGGGAGCCCCGCACACTCGGCTCTTCGCCTCCTCACAGCCTCACTCCTGCTTTGCAGCTTGCCTGCCTCAGAAATGCCACGTACCGTTAAATCAAGACTCGGTTGTACTTACTGTCTGGTGTCGGAGAGTCTTGGGGTGTGCGTTTCCGAGCTTCTCCTCCTAATCATGCTCCATTTACGTGTAGTGGGAATCCAGTCCCTTAGGAACATGGCAGATAACCGCGAGCAGCTGGCGTTATCTACCCCTTAGCAGAGTGACAGACGCAGGGCAGGTCACATCAAATCTCAGCCTACAGCACAACGGAGTCCTAATGACAAGATAAAACGGCATCTCACAAAACATATCCTGGTCTGGATTTGTGGGATTTGAGACAAACGTTACATCCCATTCTATATTATGCAGATACATTTTTTTCATGGACAATCCCAAATGGGCAACACAGACATAAAAAGGGAATACCAAAAGGACAGTGTACAGACGTATACATGCTGCAGACAAAAACGTATGGCGGCAATCGCAGCGGGGAGAGCAGATTAGCATTCGCTCTGAGCTTGTGAGGTCCCACCGTTTCAACAGCTAGAACACATTTATTAAGCATGGCAATTTGAGGGAATAAGCCTCCTTCTGTACAAAACAGTCAACAATGTTGCTATGCCAATCTCTATTTCTAGGTGCTGTTGCTGTCTTTTTTTTCCCCAGTGATGACGGCCAACAATTTCTTCGTGTTTATTTTGATAATAACGAGCTCTTTTAGTTTCCCACAAATATGCACAGCTTCTCCTTGGAATATTCCTAACATGGGACAGCACTTTCATAGGTGCTGTCAAGTATATCTGAACACCCTTAAATAAAGCATTTGAGAATGAGCGGGCATGGTTACTGTTTTTTTTTTTTTTTTTTGTATATTTTATCTTAGGACAGTATTTCAAGAGATAAGAGTACTTCTAACCTCTAAAATAAGGACTTGTGGTTCTGCTCCAGTTTGAAAGCAATGCTTACCATTAACAGTGTTGACTTCAAACTGATGTCTGGCATCTGCAAGTGTCACCTATGTGATGCTCGCAGGATAAGGCTCGTAAGTCCAGGCTGCGTTACCCAAATTCCCGTGGCAGTTTGTGCTCTTTTCTCCAGGTTCTCAAGTATGTCTTGCCATGTGAAGCACCACAGTGATGCAGTATAGATATAACGATGTTCTCCTTCAGGCTGCTGAGGAAAAGCGTGGAGCAGAACATATGTTCCAGCTTATCTAAATGCAAAGGAAAGCCAGAAAGGATTTTTTTTAAAACACATACCATTTGGATTCTTAAAACACTAATTCAGCACTCGGCTTGAACACATAACATACACTATCTTTTACTGACCAGTTTAAACCTAGTAGAACACTTGAAAATGTACCATTCATATACCCTGTAATTTGATGGAGAAAAAGTTTGTTATGTGAGCATGGATGAAGAGGGGGTTTGCTGTGTAGCCTTGCACCAGAAGAGCTCATTTTCTACACCTGGAGGAGAAGGGTCCCTATCCCATCTTTGTTCCCTCTGTCATGAGCTGATCTGTGGCCAAGGGCTGTTCAGGACTGCAGAAAGATACCCTGGTGGGTTTCAGTGACGCACTCGTGAGCTTTGAAATTGCAAACAGTGAAACTTGAGCCTGCTCCCTGTGCTATATGGACCTGGCAAAACAAGCCCGTGCTGCAGGCAAGATGTGACACTTTTGCACACTGCCAAGTGACACAGGCTGGCCTTATTTTAATGAGTCTTGCTAAACAATCTGCTAATACTGCTTGGCCAAACTTGCCCTAGCAGGTCTGCATGGATTGGGGACGGCTATGGCTGGCTAATGGCTGCCTATTGAGCAGCAGCTGATACCAGAGATACTGACTGGGCTATGGGTATGCAGCTTTCCAAACTGAAATCAGACAAAAACCCTTGGTGATTAAGGGGCACACAGTAATTAACAGGAACATGAAGTCTTTTTGCTCACAGCCACTAGTCTGCAAGAGAAAGAACAATAGGGCTCCCTGAGAACAACTGTTTCCTTGGTACCACTTAACCAAAGAGCATTGCACACTTTACAGTCACTCATTAAACTAAGTGCCCCATTGCCGTTCCATTATCCTGGTAAAGAGGGGAGAGGCACCATGAAACCAGCTAAAAAAACGGAGACAAAAGTCACAAGCTTGTGACTTCTTCCTGAGACAAAACTGCTTCCATATGCAAGCATGCCGTACTTCCCACAATCCCGAGGAAAGAAAAACTTGTGTAGTTTGGCCAACGTCCTTTAACTGAATTAACTGAACGTCCTATTACCTGAATTAGCTTTGGCTTATTCTGTAATTCTGTGATGCTGCAGGAGGCAACAGCTATTACCTGAATTAGCTTTGGCTTATTTGAAAATGTGGGTGAAGCATCAAACATGAAGAGTCTACATCAAATGTGATTAGCTCTAGAATCCTTTCCCCCCTCGAGAGCCACCTACTCTTTCTTTCATAACTCCTTAGCAGATAGCCATCATACAAAAGGATTTTATTTTAATTGAATGGGGTGATTTGGGGGTTGAGTTGTTTATGTTTGACTAAGGAGAGTAGAACTAGTCCTGGTGTGTATGTGTATATATTTTTATGTATGTTTGTATTATGTATATATGTACATATACACACAAACATATATATTTATCTATATAAAAGGAATACTTTGTAGAGCCTGTTGCTTTTGAAAGCAGAGGGACCAGCCCCGGTGTTAAAACCTGTCAAAATGGAAGCCTTTGCATAGGTCCTTTGTGAGACAGCATAAAGCCTAAGAGATAAAATGATTTGTGTATCTGCTAGAATTTAAAACTTGTTTCCCTGACAGAACCCCCTCCAGGAGAATGACATGCAATCTGCTAGTAGCCTACAAGTGAATGTCCCCTCTGGTTTAGCTCCCATCTTTAATAAAGGTGTATGTAATTTCACACTTGTCACCTTGCCCTAATGGCAGTTGGTCAAGGTTGGAATTCGTAAATAATTCAGATTATTCAGATTTATTACATTCTTCCTGTATGATGGAAGGAAAACAAGGCTTGCTGATCAAGGATTAATGTAAACACAAAGTCAGTGCTGATGAAATGGTGCGCTGGAAACATGAATAAATCTAGAGCAATGACGGTGCCTGTGTGTCTTAGTGACCCCACCCCGAGTGCAAAATAGCTGTCGAAATTTGCAAGGGAGGGTGCTGAAAAAAAGAAACCAAGCTCGTTCGTTTAGGAGATGGGAACTATACTTAGCAGTGAATATTCTGAGCAGGCAAGATCCAAACAGGTATCAATGGAGACATAAATACATTTAGCATGGACTGCAATTTAGAGACTGCGTTTTTGTTCTGTTTTGTATCGTTGCTGGTACAACATATGGCAAAACAGTACTGAAATACATCTACAATGTTAGTGGCTAGATGGAGGAATTTCCATGACAAAAGGAAGCTTGTCACAAAGGGGAAAAGCAAGTCAGTCTACAAAGGAAAATTTGTGTATATATTGTTATATACATACACTAAGCAACTGTACTGTTCAGGTGTATTGCTTTGTATTGCAAGGCGTAAATTTTTAAATAATAAAAGCGTTTTTTTCATTTTTCTTTTTTTCTCTCTCCTTTTTTTTTTTCTTTTTCTTTTTTTTTTTTTTTGTAAAAACCTGCGAGGCACCGTTCAGGCTAGACAAAGTGCCCATCAGACTTTAGTTTAATAATGCAATAACAAACTTTAGTTTATTGTTCACTGACCTTATGCTACAAGGTCTGCCGGTGGAACTCTCTATATTATAAAGTGGATACCATACATATATACACATACGAGATTTTTATGTGCACATAAAGCTGTGCATGCATTTATGCTGCTGTGAAGTTGCAACATACTGATACCATATACTGCACTTGCTGGGACGAGCACGTCTGCACGAGTGCGGCCGCATCAGGGGCAGGAGGAAGCGCTGAGTCTGACTCCCGTCACAGAACCTCCTGCTACAAAGAGGGCCCGGGTAAAATGCTGAACTACAGCTAACCACCAAGGAAGTGGCATCAGGCTTCTTGGAAAACACAGCTAAAAATCAAGTTGCTTGTAGGAAGTGCTGAGTCCTAAAAACTTGATCCTGAAGGAAATCAGTATCTTCATTCAGAATTTCTACTATAGCAAAA